TGTCTAGGGCTTAAGGGTTTAGGGTTTAGGGTTTAGGGTTTAGGGTATAAGGGTTTAGGGTTCAGGGTTTAGGGTTTAAGGTTTAAGGGCTTAGGGTTTAGGGTCTAGGGTTTAGGGTTTAGGGTATAAGGGTGTAGGGTTTAAGGTTTAAGGGCTTAAGGGGTTTAGGGTTTAGGGTTTAGGGTATAAGGGTTCAGGGTTTAGGGTATAAGGGTTTAGGGTTTAGGGTATAAGGGTTTAGGGTTCAAGGTTTAAGGGTTTAGGGTTTGTGGGTTAAGGGCTTAGGGCTTATAGGGGTTACAGTAGGGCTTCAACACGCCACACGATAGTTTGTTGGACTGAGGGTCTTAAGCCCCATAGCCTAATATATCCCGAGACCCTATTCTAATTGTTAAGGCCCATACAGTACCTTCATAGACCGGTAAAGGCACCTTTCATGAAAGGCACCCTAAAAGGAAGCCTTCAAGCAAATAGCATCTCCGAAGAGCAACTCATAACTCAGTCAACTCTAAGATCATCGCTACAAAGCCTGTCCTGCAAGAAACCGACATCTGTAGAAGCCGGCGCTGAACTCTAAATGGGATGTCTGGAAAGTTAGGCGTGCGTGATTTTGCAGTCCTGGTGCTCGGGAGCCTACAATGTTGGCTTGGTCTTTGGCTAGCGAAAAGTGCCAACTGAGCAACCCTGAGATCTGTAGGTCTTTTCCAGGGCATTATAAATGGCCGATACGAAGTTTAGGGCTTGATTAACCCTAAACCCTAAACCCTAAACCCTAAACCCTAAACCCTAAACCCTAAACTGCTTAATATAGAAGCCTGAACAATTACCAACATTACCCGGGGGGCTCCTTTTTACAACTCTAGTCTAATGGGCTCCAAATCCCTACTAAAATTATTAAGGCCCATCTATTAAAGCCTTATAGTACCCCTTGTAGTACCCCCTGTGCCTTTAAAGAAACCCTAAACCCTAAACGCCAAAACCTAAACCCACAGGGTTTAGGGTGGATCCAGCGCCATGCTCTTGGACAGGCGTCGAGCAGAACGTCTCTTTGGACGAGCAGCATATGGTACTGAGGGGGTGTGACTTTGTCAGCATTTTTGGTTCGAACCTGGTTCGAGTATCAGTTTTTTCTCATAGTTCTACTAGAACCTCTACCAAACCCTATTCTGATGACTAAGGCCGTATCCAGCCCAGTAGACACCCTGATTACCACACCCTTACAGAGCCAGCATAAACGGCTTGAGGTGAGCCCTGTTTCAATCACTGAAACCCATCCCCATAATTATAGGCTCCTTCTCTCGATGCATCCCGAATTCCTACGTTACATGGAGGATACTTACATAGTGGCTAGGGGTTCAGGGTTCCGGGTTTACGCGAGAAGCCCCAAGACCTAACCTCCAACTTGGTAAAATAATATAGAATCCCAAATAGTTACCAAGACTCTTTTGGCGTGTCCTTATTCAGATTATAGTATAATGGGCCCCCCAAACCCTATTCTAATTATTAAGGCTCCTATACTATAGCACTTCGGATCCCTTGGGCGGTGAGAGGAGAGACGGATCCCGGGGCCAAGGTTTAGAGTCGAATCTCAATTCCTCACCGGTTGGTATGATGCTCCAGGTTTAAGGTTTAGGGTTTAGGGTTTAGGGTTTAGGGGGTTCGGGTTCATTCTCACGACTGCTGTAAACTCATGGTCGGTTGAGGGCTAAGGGTACCTTCAATGGGTTGCCAGGTTTAGACTGCCGCCGCGATGATGCACCGCGAAGTTCAAGACAGAAGCACGAAACCCTCTGCGGGTCGAAAGCAAAAGCTTCTACTCCCTAAGCCCGAGCCCGGGGCAAGAGCCACTCAAATCTAGCTTCTTCAGTTCTGCCTTTGGAAGTTGCTCAAATCCGGGTAGCAACAGCCGTCGTGGTCGTGGTGGTGGTGGTGGTGGTGCTGGCAGTAGTGGTAGCAGCAGTACAGTTCAGCACAGTAGCAGAAGGAGGGTAGCAGAATTCCTTGTCCTCGTCGTCTTCGTCGTTCTCGTCTGCCTCCCCCTCGTTCCCGCTCCTCCTACGTACGGTGCATCTTCTGCCATCAGCTGCCGGCGCTGCTTTGACTGCTGCTTTCGTAGAAGCTGCGAGGCAAGATCAAGAACATTGCCTGGTCTCTTGGCGTGGTGGTCTACAGCGGCAGCGAGACCAAGATCATGATGAACAGCAAGAACCAGAAGGCCTGCTGTTTTGTAGTGTCGGCCACGCCCCGCAATCAAACCTCGACAGCCTTTTCTTGGAGTTGCTCACTCAGTCGCTCCAACACCGTTAACACGGAGCAAAACTCGAACAGAAAGGCTAAACCCTAAACCCTAAGCCACAAGCTTGCTTTGAGAACCCAGGAAGTTCCCTAACCCTTCAAGCACAGCCGTGTGACAGGGCCGCAAGCTCTCGCACCTAGAGCGAGATGTGGGCAGGCTCGCAGACGGTGGCTTAGGGATGTTCAGGCTGTTAATATCTACTATCAACCATAACTATTATCCTCTAAACTTTTTGTTCATTGTGCTATAAGCTACTAAAACCCGTTTCGAACTAGTTAGGCTCCTGCACCAAACAAAACCCTATAAACCCCTGTAAACCCCACATGGCAGCCGATTCAAAAGAACACTATTCAAACTAGTGCGGTTCTCCTAACCCTAAACCCTAAACCCATAGCAGCCGTTTGAGGAACACTATTCAAACTAGTGTGGTTCTCGCAACCCTAAACCTTCAACCCTAAACCATTAACCATGGGGTTTCGGCTTCATCTTGGGCATGTGAAGATCTTGAGGTGTCCTGATTTGAACGAGGATTTTTCATGGGATTGTACCATGGGCTGCAGACTTTGGGGGTTTAGGGTTCGGACATTAGAGTGTTTCGGGCTTAGGGTTTAGTTTAGGGTGTTCAGGGTGTTTAGCGTTCTTCCTGATTTGTATGAGAGAAGCCGGCTAGATAATCACCAATGTTATTCCTCAGGGCTCCTTATTGTAAGTATATTATCAAGGAGCCCAAAACCCTGTTCTAATTACTAAGGCGCCTACATTAGGGGGTTTAGCGTTCTTTCGGAAGTTGTAGACTTCCGAGATTGGGGCTTAGGGTATCCTCAGGGTTTCTACAAGTCCCTGTTAGCAAGGACCATTAGTTTGAACACACACTAAACCCCTAAGCCCTAAACCCTAAGACCTAAAGCCCCAAACCCTGAACCCTAAACCCTAAGCCTTAAGGCCCTAAAGCCCTAAAGCCCTAAGCCCTGAACCCTGAACCCTTTTTTAAGCCTTAAGGCACCCTAAACCCCAAACCCCTCAACCCGAGGAGATCCTTTCATTGTTTTCTTAGAACATCTACAACATTCTAGCTGAGTGCATCATAGAGAGGTTCTGACAGGAGCAATCTGTCGAGTAGCAGAAGGAACAGTACCTAACATGAACCACAAAAACCACAATGGAAGTTCTGGATGAGCCATCTACCTGCAGTGCTAATGACAATCATGCATCCTCCCCAATCCCTATATCCCCCTTAAATGCCTCAACCCCCCAAAACCCTAAACTCTCTTATTCACGCACGCTTTTCAGAGGCCTGAAAGGGCCAACTTAGATATAAATCCTAAGCTCGTAAACCCATCCTCAGCCCGTGACCCAAAGCCTGAAATCTCTGAACCCCTACCTGTGACCTCAAAGGCTACAAAATCGCAGGCTATGACACCCTCAAACGTGTGGAAATCATGGGCTATGACGCCTGAAATAAAGGGCAGAACCCTCAAACTAATGTAGGGGCCTTAATAATTACCTATACTATTTTGGGGGCTCCTTACAGTGTTATGACAAAAAAAGTGTAATGGGCACCAAAACCCTATTTTAACTATTAAAGCCACTATAATGTTAGATCCCTGAACCCCGACCCCCCTTAAACCTACAGCGACTCCCAGAAGGTTGGAACATGGATTCAGAAGGGCATGGGGATGAGAATGTTCCAACTTTCTGGAGTCTACTTTAAGCCCTAAGACACACTATACACCCCTAAATCCCTGCACCCCTCGTCCGAACCCCTAAACCCTAAACCCTAGACCCTAAACCCTAAACCCTAGACCCTAGACCCTAAACCCTAAACCCAGCCAGGTTGACCCTCCTGGTCTTTGGCATTCAGCCCCGACCTCAGCCCGTTGGGTGGGGGCCGGGGTTGACCGGAGCCCGACAAGCCCGGCAATCTTACGTTCCCTTATTATAAGTTAACCCTAAGGGTCCAAGTAGTCCTTATTATGGTTTTATGTGCCCAAGAAGGCCCCAAAGTCCTTAAATAATGGGTACTTGGACCCTTAGGGTAAAGCTTCATTATAGTTTCCTAAACTCTAGGCTAAACCCTAAACCCTAAACCCTAAACCCTAAACCCTAAACCCTAAACCTTAAACCCTCGTCATCGTCTATATCTTCATAAACGGCGAGGCTTTTGAGGAAGCGGGGATCGAGGCTTCGAGTCAAGGGCTTTCGGACCAGAAGGGTTCTGGGTTTGAGGTTCTGGGTTCTGGGTTCTGGGTTCTGGGTTCGGGTTCAGTTGTTCTGGGTTCAGGGTTTAGGGTTCAGGGTTCGGGTTCAGTTGTGCTGGGTTCAGGGTTTAGGGTTTAGGGTTCAGGGTTCGGGATTCAGGGTTCTGGGTTTGGGGTATTTGGTTTGGGGTTCAGGGTTTGGGGGGATCCGAGGTGCAGGATTTCAGTTCAAGTAGCATAAGGGCCTACATGATTACCATTTTGGGGTTCCTTATTGGACCTAAACCCTAAACCCTAAACCCTAAACCCTAAACCCTAAACCCTAAACCCTAAACTTTTGGTTTCTACTTATTTATACCCCAAATGATTCCCATTTTGGGGTTCCCTCTTGAATTGAACCTTTAGTTTCTACTTGGTTTTACACCAATTAATACCCTACTCTAATTTTTAAGCACAATGCCTCAAGCCGCAAACCCTGAACCTGTGAACATGCAGGCGGAATATGGCCCTGTAAAACCCCGACTGCGAGCCATCGTATATTCACGTGAAACTCCTGCTTACCCAACCCCCTCTGCACAACCCTACAGCAGCCCAAATATGCTAACAGCCCTTATCAGACCGTATGAAATTCTAAAGCCCGCTTAGTTGCTTTATACAAACCTTACATCACTCTACAGAGGCCTGTGACTAAGACCCTAAACCCTCAGCCCTCTTGGAAATCCTTCTGTAGCTTCGCAGAAGCCTACAAAAAACTGCTTGGAAGCACACAATAAAACCCCCATAGCAGCAAACCGTGATACAACCTATCAACGCCTCCAAAGCCGTTGAAACTCCAATACTTCAAACCTACAAAATGGGGTTTTCCCAAAAGGTCCCCTAATATAGTACCCTAAAGAGCAGGATCCTTATTGTAAGGAACCCAAAATAGGGTACTCCTTATTTTCGGAAACTCCCAAACAAATGCCGACAGCAAACTGCTTTCAAACCCGAATATAACCCTACAAACGCTTGGAGCAACCTCGAAACCCGAAACCCTGAACCTTAAACCCCAAATCCTAAATCTTAAACCCTCAACCCTCAACCCTAAGCCCTAAATCATAAACCTTATAAACCCCAAACCCTATGCAAGGAATTTGCTCTGCCTCATCGCCGCCATTGCCAGTGCTATCTTCGAGACTTCCGAGGCGTTGCCGACACGGGTTTAGGGTTTTAGGGTTTTGGGTTTGGGGTTTTAGGGTTTTGGGGTGTTAGGGTTTTAGGGTTTAGGGGTTTAGGGTCTTAGCGTTTTAGGGCTTAGGGTTTAGGGTTTTTAGGGTTTAGGGACAGGGCGTCTTTCTGGGCGTCAGGGCTTCCCACGGACCTGCGAATCCACTAATCAGAGACTAACTCGTGTATTTTGAAGGCGGGATCACTTCAAGGATATCGTAAAAGCACACTGACACATGCAGTTATTGTATGAAGCATTAGCTGGATAGGTCAGGTGTTCTTTGCGAGTTCCCTTACGTGATCCTAATGTGATTTTTCCTTGAAGGGCACTCTGGACGGGTGGTTTGTTCTACAGGGGCTCTTCTTGTTTGGGGTTCTAAAAAAGGGATCTTCTATACGCTCGAGGATTTCAGGTTTGGGTTTAGAGTTCAGAGCCAGTTGTGGGTTCAGGAATTCCGTTCAAAGGCGCACTGCTAACCCAACCTTAAACCCGAGACTACATAAGTCTCAAACCCTATGGATCTCCTACCCCGATCAGGACAACCTCAAGAAGATGTACCTGAATCTCACCGACGAGAACGGCAACGCGCAGTCCGCCTTCTTAGCCGTCAGCTCAGAGCTGCAAGGGCTGTGGAGCCTCTACGAGCTCCTTCTAGCGGGTTCTTCAAAGGTCTTTGGGTTCCTTTAAGGGGTCCCTTTAAGGGTTCCTTCAAGTGGGCTTTCTGGGGTTTAGAGTTTAAGTTTAGATTTTGGGGTTCAGGGTTTAAGGTTGAGGGTTTGGGGGTTTTGAGGGCTCTTTAGGTGTTACAGGTTTTGGAATTCTGGGTTTTAGTTCAGAAGTTTAGGGGGCTTAAGGTTCACCCACATGTTTCTCGCCTTAAGGACGTAAGGTGCTTCCAAAGACAAGCTTTTAGGGGTTCATAAACATCGTCAGTCAGGATCGTAGTGGCAGGGATCCTTTTCTGAGGACTAAACCCTAAACCCGGAACCCTAAACCCTAAACCCTAAACCATAAACCGTCCCAGAAACAGGACGATTTATGAGTAGTGCAGTCCCCAGTTCAACGGGCGAGTTGCTAACCAGAGTCTGCGTCGTGTGATTCCGTGGCACCGCGATATGCTCAGGTCTTGCTGATTCGCAGCTCAGCTTGCATTCAACTTTGCAGTGGGAATAGAAGCGCTTGACAGGTGCGAAATGCATTAAATCAAGCGTCTACGCTTGTCTGGAACGGAGAGGTTTCGAATTCAGCGAAGGAGTTTTATACTGGAAGCCTCTTGGTAGTTCGAAGGCGGCGAGCATTGTCACCATTGTACCCATCTTGAACAATCGGGATTTCGTAATTCTCACGTGGTTTCTGACCTACACATGGGTAGTTCTCCGAATTAGGGTCCCCTTTTGGGTCTCCAAAACAGTACCACACCCGTGTAAAATGGACCCAAAAAGGGACCTACTTTAGAGAACTACCCATATGCTTGCATCGGTACCACACGGCAAGAACCTGAGCCGTTTGTTCGAGTGCGTTTCCGGGTTTTCATATGGCTTATGCTGCGAGGGACTGCTTATTTTGTGCCAGGGTTTTAGGCGCTCTAAACCCTAAACCCTAAACCCTAAACACTAAACCCTAAGCCCTAAACCCTAAACCCTAAACCCTAAACCCTAAACCCTAAACCCTAAACCTTACCCTTGCACCGTACCCAGACTGAATCTCAGGGTTCGAAGATCCCAGGTTCCGGTGTGGGGTGGGTCACTGCAAAGTGGGACTGGGGTGAAGAGTCGAAGCGGTTTAGGGTTTTTGGGTTTAGGGTTTAGGGTTTAGGGTTTAGGGTTTAGGTTTTAGGGTTTAGGGTTTAGGGTTTAGGGTTTAGAGTCTATAGTTGAGTGTAAACTAAGCCCTAAACCCAAAAACCCTAAGTGGGACTGGGGTTGAGTTTAGAGTTCAGTGAACCTTAAACCCTAAACCCTAAACCAGACCAAATCCTACACCTTAAACCTCAAGTTCTGACACCTGCAAAACCCTAAGCCCCAAACCAGAAAATAAACCTACACCTTAACCCTCAAGTTCTGACACCTGAAAAACCCTAAACCAGACTAAATCCTAGACCCGAAACCTGAAGTTCTGACACCTGAAAAACCCTAAACCAGACTAAATCCTAGACCCTTCAAAAGCCCTAAACCTGCCAAGTCTCCTTGAGCCCAAAGCCCTTCGCCCCTTCAATTCAGCTTAGTTCGCACAAGCAGACGTCCTCCTCCGTGGGGTTTAGGGTTTAGGGTTTAGGGCATCGATGTCTCGACCCAGGATTCTTCAACTTCATCATCTTGTTTTCCAACTTCATCCCGATCTCGCTGTTGGTGCCCAGCCTGTGATGTAGGGCTTGGGGTTAAGGGTTTAGGGTTTAGGGTTTAGGGTTTAGGGTTTAGGGTTTAGGGTTTAGGGTTAAGGATTCAGGGTTGGGGGTGTAGGTGTTTGGGATGATTGCTCTTGCCTTGAGATACAGTCAAGCTGGTCTTCGAAGTCTAAGAGCGCTCCAGGAGCCCTAGGCCCTTGTTTAGGGTTTAGGGTTTAGGGTTTAGGGTTTAGGGTTCTCTCCGAAATATACATTTCAATTTTCAAGCCCTTATAGCACTGAGCCCCATCCAAAGAGCAACACCCTGAACCCTTAATTCCTACACCCCTAAAGCCTAAACCCTAAACCCCCACACCCCTAAACCCGTAAACCCTTAAACCCTAAACCCTTAAACCCTAAACCCTTAAACCCCTAAACCCCTAAGCCCTTAAATCCCAAGCCCCTGAAGCCGATCGATCTCAGCCAAGGTGTCCATGACCTTAAGCTAATGGAAGCTTCTTATACTATAGTGGGAGTCCAAAAGTTGAACACCCAATAGCCTCAATCCTTGAGAAGAATGTATAGGGAATCTCAGCACTAAACATCCTTATTCCGGTTTCCAACTTTTTGGGACTTACCCTATGGTGTAAGGTATAGCCCTCAATGCAAGGGTATTGCGCTGTTCCTGAAACCGCAAAAGGCAAAGAATTCTCAATTGCCTACAATTACACAGCTTGCTGAAACTTCTCAGAAACCCTAAGAAGCTCTTATAGCATTATAGAACTGAACTCCCCGCACAGAGCAAATCCCTCAACCTGTAAACCCTAAACCCTTAAACCCCTAACCCCTAAACCCTAAACCCCTTAGTCCCTAAACCTTTAAACCAAAAACCCTAAACCCTAAGCCCCTAGGACCCTACACCCCTCGAGCCGAGCCATCTGAGCCGAGGTGTCCATGAGCTTGGCGAAGTTGGCACAGGTGTTCTTCCTCTACGCCGATCAGGACATGATCCATCAGGCAGGGAACGCTTTCACGGTTGAGGGCTCGGGGCTTTGGGCCCGGATTTAGGGTTTAAGGTTTTGAGGTTTCAGGGTACTGGTTCTTGCGGGCTTCGGGCACCGAGGGTGCCCAGGGTTTGAGGTTTTCATTCTGTTGATTCAGGCGTTTGGGGCCTTCTGTGATATAGAGGTCGGAATGCTTAATAAGAGTACAAGATTCTTGGCCGTATCAATATGACAACGACTGAGACTCCACATCTTGATCCGCGACCCTCATGCTGCGTGCGCAGAGCCCGCACCCAAATCCGAATCCCGTCGACATCCTAGCTCAATTCCCCAAGTTCCGGTCTGGCTCGTCGGTTTAGGGTTTAGGGTTCAGGGTTTGGCATCCGATCTACTGCAGCCCTCAACCCTAAACCCCTGCCGCTCGCAGGGGATCCACTGCATGCCTCGCACATCGGACCTGAACGAAGAGTTGGGCCAGGTCGAGTATGTGTTTTCTGAAGCTTGCTTGCAGTCATGGCTTAAAGTTTGGGGTTTTTAGGGTTTTTAGGGTTTTTAGGGTTTAGGGGTTTGGGGTTCCGGGTTTAGGGGTTTGTAGGGTAGATTGTTCGGGGTCGTGAGTGTGCCATGGCGAGGGACGCAAGGGTATGAAGCGCAGGCTTTGCAAGTCTAAGAAATGTCGACTTACCTGCATGACAGCTAATGATTAAGGATCCGCCAGTGCGGAATCCCATCAATTAAGATTTGGGGTATGTTTTTGGGGGTTTCTCGGAAGCCCAAGGACAAGACGGGTACCCTGACGTGCAACGTCATGGACTTCCGGAAGTTTTGCGTCAAGGGCATCACCTACGGTCAGGCCAGCCGGCCCTGACGGCAAGCACTGCATAGAACTCCAGAACCCCTTGGTTGAAGAGTATAGCTTAAAGCGCAAGGTATTTTACGCTGGTGCTATCGGCTCCGAGGGAATAGACAAACACTTGTTTTGGACCATAACAGGGCTTCTTACGACGATTTTAAGTGGCTTCCTTTCTGAAGAGGTACGCTTTGTCTCGGTTTTTTGAGCTTATAGAAAATAGGCGCCTCAATAATTACCTATATTATTTTGGGGGTTCCTATTATAACTATACTACAAAGGACCCCAAAACCCTATTCCAATTATTAAGGCCCCTATTATAGCCCTAAGGGCTTAGGGTTTCCATTCTCCCGGGCTACGGATCTGTTCAAACCTAAAAGCCCCAGCTCAGCCCCAAGTGCCTAATGTAGGGGCCTTAATAATTAGAATAGGGTTTAGGGTTTAGGGTTTTGTGGTATACTATACCATATGATCATAATATGGAACCCCCAGAGTAGTATTGGTCATTATTTTGGCTCCTATTGTGGATTCCTAAGCCCTTTCGCTCCCTGCAAGTCCTGGGACGTGGCAAATTTGATCAAGCGCGTGTTGAAGAAGTGGCCTTTCAAGTAAATGTATAGGGCGTTTAAGGGGTTTAGGCACTACCTAGAGGGTCCATATATGCTAGTATCGTGGAATAACGTCCCCAACACCATACTAAAAATGGTCTGTGGGGACCTGATTCCATAGTGGTAGTATATGGGCTTTTTTAGGGCCCCCAAAACATGACGGCACCCTTATAGAAACGACCCTAAAAACCCTAAAAAGGAACCTTAGACCCTAAACCGTGTTGAAGAGTTCCATCAGCGTCTCTTTCCGTAGTCGATTCCAGAACACTCGGCAGAAGCTGGATCTCTGTAGTTCGACTAGACTCACCTATAGTCTCATTTGTAGCTCCATTTTGGGTTACCCTTTAGGATCCTACCGGTAAAACTGGTTTAGCCTCAAAAAGAAAAGGAACCTTACTGGCTGTAAAACAAACTTT